CCTTGACCCCATTTTCAATTTACAAGGTGGATAGCCCGAAGTAGTGGGGCAGGGCAGAGAGCCCCCTCTTCTTACTGTTTTTGGCTGTAACAGGTGGAGACAATATGGTGGAGGGGATGCTGCCCCCTCCACCATATATCTGCTCCCATGACAAACAACAACCCATTTGTTTGCATCATCGTTTGTGCACAAAAAGAAACAATCCCCTCTGCACAAAGAAAACTCTGATTATTTCTAAGCAGCAATATTTCCAGAAATTTATATGTATTAAGAATTCAAATCAAATTTAATATAGTTCCTTCCAGATCCCAGTTTTTTTAATTTTAATTTTATTCAAATACAAATAATACAAACATAATACATATAAGTCTAAATAAAAAACAGTATAAAAATACAAATACTACAATGCACCCACTCTCCTGGAGACCATTTTTATTACCTATATTTCTTCTCACATAATAACTAACAATATACAATATATTTCAATTGTGCCCTTATCCCCTCCAAAACAGCATATATTCTTGAGCAGGTTTATTCTCTTTGCCTTCTTCCAAGACTGTTTTTATAAAATCATCCCATATTTCATAATTATTTACTTTAATCATACCTTTTTAAAATTTAATTTCTGTTATTAATTTATCATTTATTGCCATATTCCATATTTCATTATACCACTCATTTATTTGAATAACCCAATTCCGTCTCCAATATTTAACCATCACTAATCTAGTGCCATTATCAAATTTACAATCAATCCCTTTTTTGCTTCATTTATAACCTGTTTTACTACCAGTAATAGTAATGCAATCCTCGATGACATATCTAAATTTACCTTCAAAAGTTCTCTAGTTTCCCTAAACATCATGTCCCATATCTTTTGTGCGCTATCACAATCCCACCACATATGTTTATATGTTCCAATTGCTTTCTCACACCTCCAGCAAATATTTGTATATTTAACATCTATTTGATTTAATTTATGTGGTATTAGGTACCACCTCCATATCACTTTAGATCCATTTTCCTTAACTCTAACTGACATATTCTTATATACTCTTCTGTTCCAAATATTTTTCCAATCTTTGTCGTTTATTTCTCCTAAATCTGTTTCCCAGGTTGATTTTAAACCTTTTGCCTGATCTTCTAGTTCAGTTAATATTCTGTATATTTTCCCAATTCTTCCTTTACTTATATATTCTTCATTTTCCTCACTTTCTTTTATAATCTTTTCAAATTTTGTTAACTGTCTATCTTTCACCTCGAATTTTTCTTCCATGTTTATCCATTTCTCTAATTATATTAAATTCAACCAATTTAATTTAGTATCTGATAAAACTTTCTTTAATTGTATTATATTCTTTATCTTGTTCTTCCAGTCTTCCCATTCATATATCTGATTTTTTTTTTAAATTTACTAATCCATTATTTCAATTCAGTTTTAGGGAATTTCTCCATTTTATCAACAGTGTGAAAGGAAAAATTCCTGGCATTAACCGATATCTCCATTTATTCTATAATTCTATCACATTTTTTAAAAAGGGATTTTGAATTCTCTTAACACTTTTTAAATATCATTTTTAAACCAATATGTTTCTATAGGATCGCCTTAAGGAATCCCTTAATTCCTTCAACTCTATATTGCCCCCATAATAAATATTTACTGCTATAATATCTGGGACCACCCTTAATTGATTAGCTACCCAATAATTTCTAATATTTGGAAGACCCAGCCCACCCTTTTTTAATGGTTCGTACCATTATGCTTTACTTATTCTTTCTCTCTTACCTCCATTACAGTACACCTCCAGCAATCTCTGTATTTCCTTTAATTCTTGATCCGAAAACTTAATTGGGATCATCCAAAACAAAAAAATAATTTTTGGTAAAACTTTCATTTTTATTGTTGTAATTCTTCCGAACCATGATAATTTTATTTTTCCATATTTATCCATTTTATCTGTTATATCTTTCTTTAACTTCTGATAATTTATCTTCTTTAAGTCTTGAATATTTTTTGGGATGTCAACACCTAAATATTTGATACTATCTACTATTTTTAATTTATATTTTTCTTTCAATACATCCATTTCTTCTTTACTATGGTTATATAACATCATTTCTGATTTTCCCCAGTTTATTTGCAATCCACTATATTTCCCAAATTCATTCAAATCTGAATATACCCTCTCTATAGTAGCTATGGGATTTTGAAATGTTAGTAATGTATCATCTGCAAATAAATTTATTTTAGTTTTCTTATATACACCAATTCCTTCAATCAATGAATCTTTCCTGATTGCATTTGCCAAAACCTCCATCAATAATCCAAATAGAGCTGGAGATAAGGGGCAACCCTGTCTCGTTCCCTGGCTTAAGGTTATTGTCTCTGTAACACCATCATTTATAACTATTCTCACCTTATTCTCTGAGTATAGTTTTCCTTTCTAAATTTTTTTCCAAAGCCTAATTTCTACAGTATATCTTCAAGGTAGGCCATTCCACACAATCAAAGGCCTTAAATACATCTAATGCTAATAAACCAGCCTTTAATTTTTGATTCTTTATGTAATAACCTATCTTTAATACCCTTCTTACTATATCTGACATTTGTCGGCCTCTTATAAATCCACACTGATCATTTTTAATATAATTCTCTATAAATGTATTCAATCTATTTGTCAATATTGCTGTAAAAATCTTAGCATCCTGATTAATAAGGGATATTGGTCTATATGATCCTGGGTTTGTAAGATCTTTATTAGGTTTCACTATCAATGCTATCAGAGATTGCTTCCAGGAACTTGGAATAATTTGCTCTTCCATTATTTTATTAAACATTAACCTCATCTTTGGCACCAATAATCCTTTAAAATTTTTATAATATTCTGCACCTAGTCCATCTGACCTTGGTGCTTTACCTATTTTCAATTTATTAATAATTTCCAGTATCTCCTCCTCTTCTATTTGTGATTCCATTATTTCTTTATCATATTCTCAAATTTTACAGTTTAAATTCTTTTCTATATATGCCTGACTTTCATTCACATTTATTTCCTTTCCCTTATATAACTTTTCAAAAAACTTCTGAAATATGAACAATTTTTCTCTCATCATGTTACATCTTTTTCTCTTATCGTTCTTTATTACTCTAGTCAGGCTTTTTGCCTTTTTAACTTGTGTGGCTCTAGCCAACATTTTAGAATTTTTATTACTATTTTCATAAAATTCCCTATTTAAATAAATTAGATTTCTTTGAACCTGTTCTAACTCAGTATTTTGCAACTCTTTTCTTTTAGCTGATAATTCTAACATAATCCTATTCTCTCTACTTTCTATATATTTACTCTCTAGTTCTTTAATTTCCTCCTCCAACTTTTTTATGTTTCTCTTTTTGCTTTTTATATTATAAGAATATTTTATCCCTAAACCTCTTACCACTGCTTTCATTGCATCCCATATTACACCTATATTACTACCTTCTTCTTCATTTATAGTCCATATGTCTTTTTTCCTCTTTCCATTTTCTCTAAAATCTATTTTTAAAAATCCTCGAATCCATTCTCCATCTACTTGTCTGTTTATAATCACAATCTATTTCCATTTCCATAGTCACCATTGCATGCTGATATTTTAATTATTTTTATTTCTGCTTTCATTATTTTAGATAATATTTCCGATGTTACAAATATATAATCTATTCTTGTAAAATTTTTATGTCTACTAGAAAAATATGCATAACTCTTTTGATTGCCATGTAATTCTCTCCAAACATCTTTTAATCTATTTCTATTAATAAATTTTCTTAAATCTGTATTATTATACTTTATTTCCCCTTTTGATGGATTAGATTTATCAATTCCTGTATCCATAGCCATATTATAATCACCTGCCATTATCACATAACCTTTTTTATTTCTTCTATTTCTTTATATACCCTGTTATAAAACTCTCTTTGATTTGTATTAGGTGCATACAAATTTGCTAAAGTGACCTCTTGTCCATAAATCAAGCCTTGAATTATAGGAAATCTTCCCATATCATCCTTTTTTATGACTTTTATTTTAAATTCACATCTTTTAGCTACCATGATTGCTACCTCTCTTGCTTTTGATGTACCAAATGCCTTTTCATATACATCAGCCCACTATAACTTCATTCACCCCTTCTTTCTTCTGATGTGTTTCTTGTAAAAATACAATATCTATTTTCTCTTTGTTAATTGATTTTTCAATTCTTGCTCGTTTATATTCCCCCCCCCCCAAGCCATGTACATTCTATGTAGTTACCTTCAATGATTTCCCCATGTATTCCTTATATTACATATTCCCTTTGGTCTCCATATGTGCTCTAACATAAATCTTAAAAAACTAAAACTGCAAAGTAAGCATATTGTCCCAAAACATAACTAACCTCTTACCCATCCATATACATATATATTGTCTCCCTTTCCTTCTTCAGGAGATCTTCCTCCTCTCCGCTGCTTCAGGCCTCCGGGGAGGGGGGAAGAGAAGCCATCCCTGCATGGACTTTGGTCGCCCATTCCACTTCCCTTGACCATCTTTACCTTAATTTCTACACGCAAACATATAACATTACAAATACACAGTGCTCTTTTTGTTAAAAAAAAAAAAAAGGTGCCGGAATTCACCCATGTCATACAACCTGCCTTGCCTACCCTACAAGGTTCCATCCCAAAAAGGTGCCGGAAATCCGTTCAGGGTGTTCTAGGACAAAAAAAGCCCTGCAAATACTTATATACTATCTCTACAATGAACTTGTAACTCCTGTTGCTTCATCTAGCTTCCCTTTCTCCTGTAGATCTTTTTTATTGATGATTCCATGCTCCCTTAATTTCTCCATCGCCTCCTCTTTTGTTTCAACTCGGTAAAATCTTCCACCGTAAGAAAATTCTAAAAAAAAAAAACCTGGATATCCCCAGCTGTAGTTAATGTTATTTTTCTTCAATATTTGACAAACTTGATGCATCTCTCTCCTCCATTGTAAAGTCTCATTGCATAAATCTGGAAAAACTTGTATCTAATGCCCCCCAAACATTATAGATGACATGTTTTGCAATTTGCACATCAATTGCTCTTTTCTTACATATGACCAGAGTCACACCACAATATCTCTTGGCAATTTTCTTCCCAACCTTTTTGGCCGACTCTATGTATTGCATCAATATCATATCTTGTAAAGGGGACATCTGGGAAAATCAAGGTAGCCCCATCCAGTACTGCCTTGCTTCATTTTCTTCTCTTTTCTCCAGATATCCACATATACATAAATTTGATCAGCGTTGACGATCACATATCTCAATCAAATCATTTTCACCTGATGCATCATAGTTGTCTGACTTTTTAACACCTTATCATGTTCTCCCATCTGAGTCTTCACTTCTGTAATATTTCGTGTCGTATCCTGACTTTGTTTTGCCAGATCTGTTATTCTTACATTCATATTATCCATTTTATCTTTTATTTGCTTTTAGATCCCAGTTTTGAGATAAAATAGTTTTTTAGAAGGATTACATGCAAGATTATTATTGTTTTTAAAAATCTTTTTCGAGCTAGAGAACTAAATTTTTATTCCTGACAGATTTTTACAAATAGAGCAAAATAATTGCTCTCAGCAGCTTCATTTGTAAGCAGCCTCCTTAAGGATTATTGCTAAAAATCTAAAATTCACTATACTTTCTCCCATCTACAAATATCAACATTTTGGCTTGAGAAAACATACAGTATGTACATTACTTTGAAAACTAGGATAATTAAATTATCTTCCTCCACTTGGTTTGCCCTCAGTGTTCAAAATGTCTTCTTTTGGCAGTACTGTCTCCAGAAATACAAGCAAGATCCAAGACACAAAGATGAGGAACCACCCATACTGTTTGTGTGGGCACCTGTAGCAGATGTGAGGATAGGAAGGCAGTCCTTCCTCTGCACCACAGAGGAAATAACCTCTTCCTTCAGAACAACTGTCTTTGGGAGAGGCTCTGAACTCCCTTTAAGTTAATAGGAAACAAATGCAAAAAGATCTGTTTTCCTGCACTAATAACACACCCCAGCGTATTTTAAATGGACTGTGCCATTTGCTATAATCAGTCTTAAATTGCTGGGTCATTGGTGGCTTCGTATGTAATATCTTTTATGAATATTGTGTAATAGCACAAGTGCTTTTCCCTAAAAATACCGAAGAAGAGCAGCTGAAGGAAATAAGAGAAAAACACCAGGAAAAGTTGGCTGAGAGAAATGCCACGATAAGAGATGCAGGTAATTCATTTCCCTTAACAATCCTGTTTAAAGCTTCTCTTTTTGTCTGCTCATTTGTATTCTATGACTGATAAATGCTTCTTGTAATTTCTGCATCTTAGCTGGAGGAGAAAAATGAATTCTTAGCAAGCGATGTCACCAGCCTTGCGAACCAAACAAATAATTGAAGGAGAAACTCTTTCAAAGTCAAGGAAGTGAGTATAATTTTAACTTAACATTTTAATTATTTTCATTTTAAAAATGAAAATGATTTATTTCTTCTTAAGTTCAGCTTTACAAGCACTAGTTATTTTGGTGTTTTTTTTTTTTCTCCAGGGCCTGCCCAAGTTGAAGAAGACATTCCAGGTGAGAAATAGCCAGCTGGAAAAGCATCTTACATGATAGCAAGAAATTAGAACAGCCTCAGTAAGCAAAATTATATAATGCATTAAAAATTAAATTTTGATGGTGCTTCATCCATTTCTTTTTACAGGAAGTAGCAAAGGAGAGCCAAAAGCAGAAAGAACTGCAAAAGGTTGTGGACAAAAACATCAAAGAGATGTGTTCCAAGTTGGACTCCATACACATCAACAAAAAAAGAAAACCAGATGATGATGATGGTAAGATTTGTCCTTCCGTTTGTGGGAGAGAAATAGACATAACTTTTGGAAAGTCATAATTGGGAATGTTGTCTCTTCATCCTCCCTTGCTAGAATTTTAACCTTTTAGCAGCATACTTTCTTTGAATACATCAAAAATAGTTCTTACACAAATCCAGTTCTTTAATATTAGTCAATACAATAATGTTTTGCATTGCAAAATAAGCAGTTGTAAGATTATAGGCAAATGCAATGATACTGCAATAAAATGCCATTTTTTCTTAATGTGACATACATAAATACATATCTGCATTTTCGCTTCCATAGCAAAATCATCATCAAAATGCGACAGAGCGAGAAGATGAGTTTTGAACAAATTCTAAGTTTATTCCCAGGAGTTCCCAGATATACCTATTGAAAAATATTTAACCAAATACAGCACAGTTAAAGATGAGATGCCATAAAAAGTGAAATTATCATACTTGGAGGCCATTGAAAAAAAATGAAGAAAAATTTTTTTCTCTGAATTTTTCAAGGTGTTTTTCTGAGATTTTCAAATTCTGCAGAATTCTATACCAGGGATGCAGAAGAGTCAAGGACATCCCATAATTATGTATGTAAAATCCACCTTTAATAAATTTGTCTATCTTTTCAATGTGTAATTTCCCAGAAATGCCTTTTTCTTTTTCTTTTCAAAATAAATTTGAAAGAAGACATTGGTCAACCATTGACATGTGTTGCATAATCTTGTTGGGCAGAAAAGAGATTGCCTTTTTGCATCTATGTTATTGATTGTCTTAGACCACAGGTTGGCAACCCGTGGCTGAGGAGCTGCATGTGGCTCTTTCACCTGTCTCCTGCGGCTCCCTCTCCTCAGCCACCATGTGCAGTCTGAAAAAAAAAAGTGGGACTAAAAAAATTCAACCAATCAATTCAAACTTCTCACGAAGTTTGAATTGATTGGTTGAACTTCTTTGGTTTGTGGGACTGCCCACAAACCTCTTTTCTTCTTCAGATTGCACATGGTGGCAGCAGAGGAAGAGCCAGGAGGATTGCTAGAAAGGTAGTAGAACCTGGGTAAGGAGCTGCCGGTGGCTAGCCTTGGGATGCCTCTTCCCCGCCCGGCGGGTCTCCCCTCGCCCTGCTTTGCCGCCGCCTCTTAGTCAAGGGGGTCGCCAGGGGTCTTGGTAGTTTCCCCTCTCTGCCTGCGCCTTTCGGCCATCTCCCAGGATCTCCGTAGCCTCTTTTGAGAGATTCCCCCACGGTGCCTGCCCGGCCCTTTCCCCACCTGTGCGGTGCCTCTTAGCTGTCCTCCTGCTGCCACCGCCTCTGCCCATCGCGCTGGGCAAGGCCAAAGAGGCAGCGGCTGGGCAGCTGCACCCCTTTACCATCCTCCTGCTATCATTGCCATCGCCATTGGTCGCACTGAGCGAGGCCGGAGAGGCAGCGGCCACCGGGCAGCCGCACCCATTTGCCATCATCCAGCTGCTGCTGCTGCCGGTCACGCTGAGCGAGGCTGGAGAGATGGTGGCAACCAGGCAGCCGAGCCCCTTTGCCATCCTCCCGCTGGCCCCAGTGGTGGCGCCTTCCTTGGCTGCTTTCGGGGAGCCGCTGCTGCCACCGCCCTCGGTGCTACAGGAGAAGGAGACCTTGGGCTGCAAGGCTGGCGGCGGGTTGGGACCCCCCTCGTCCCCACGATGGCACTCCCAGTTGCTGGTGCGGCTGCCCATGGTGCACCCGGGCTGCAGGGAGAGCAGCATCCTCTTCGCGCCCTCCTCTTGCGACAGCAAAATGGCTGAGGAAGCGGTGGGGGCGGTGGACAGCAGGGGCATCACTCCCTGGGAAGCCGAGCCAGCCACGTGTCTCCCTGGGCTGGGCCGGGCGGCAGTCATAGCTGGGGCGACAGGCAGCAGGGGCATCGCTCCATGGGAAGTGAAGTCGGCCAAGCATCTCCCCGGGCCTGGCTGAGCGGCAGTCCCGGCTGGGGCGGTGGCCAGCGGGGGCATCGCTCCCTGGGAAGTTGAGACGGCCACGTGTCTCCCCAGGTCAGGCTTCCTCCGAAAGAGGAAAGTCCCAGAGAGGGAGAGCATGGGGTGGGGGGAGAGCAGTCTTTTCCGAGGGGAGGAGAAGCCAGGACGGCAGAGCTGCCCATACTTCAAAAAATTAATATGTATGGGAGACGAGGATACACCGCAGTGCAAGGGCATTGTAGGGAAGGCGGGGGGAGGGGGGAGAAGAGGGATAGGAAGGAAAGAAAACAAAGAAAGCTCTGTAGCCACCCAAGAAAAAGCAAATTTAAATACAGTAGCTACCAGGGAAGGAGGAGGAAGGGAAGGCTTGGCAACTTGCTGGAAGGGACTGATTCGGGGTTCGGGAAAGGCGCAAATCTTTCTGGATCATGGCGGGGAGGGGCATTGGGGATTCCGGCTTCACAGGGAAAAAATGAAGCTGATCCAGCCTCTTCAATCAAGTGCCCTGTTCTGCACGCACGCACGCACGCACGCGCGCGCACACACACACACACATTTTGCGGCTCTCAGTTTTTTCTTTTGTGAGGGAAAGGGGTCCAAGTGGCTCTTTCAGTGTTTCAGGTTGCCGACCCCTGTCTTAGACCAAGCCAAGCCCAAAAACATTAGAAGCAGGCTGTACCCTGCACTCTGACAAATTGGCCATCAATAGACACATAAACAACATCTGCATACTGTGCAAAAGAGACATTCAACAAGCCAAAAAAAGAACAAAAAGACCCAAACACCTCCCCACCCAGCAATCAAAACTCAGATGAGCATAGATTAACACTAAGATTAACTTCAGACCAACAATCAAGAAGTAAACAATACTCCAACCAAGGAACTGCCAAACAAGCTAATAGTAAACAGCCCAACCAAAGATCCTTCAAGACCACTCCCTCCAATGCTGACTGGGCAAGCTACTAGAACAGTGGTGGCGAACCTATGGCACGTATGCCAGAGATGGCACTCAGAGCCTTCTCTGTGGGCACGCGCGCCATGCCCCAGAGATGGTAACTGTCCCTCTTCAACCAGCCGCTCACTAACTTGCCGAGGTCCCACGTGGCTGGATGCATCCCAGCACCCAGATGCTCGCTGGCCTCTGTGTGCAGAGCCGATGGTGTCAGGCAGCAGCTGCTCCGACCCCTGCCTCACCTTGCCCTGTGACAATGGCATCCCCGCCCTGCCTTGCCTCACCCCACAGGACGAGTCTCCTGCCCACCACCCCACCTGCCAGAGATCCCCTGGATCTCCCCCAACCCTGCCCGGCCCCCACAGGCATCCCTCCCCACTAGCAACATTGAGGTGATCACGCCCACCTTGGCCACACCCACCCAATCTGGCATGACCACCACAGCCACGCCCACCCAGGCACCCGGCAATAAATAAGTGGGTTTTGGGTTGCAGTTTGGGCACTCGGTCTCTAAAAGGTTCACTATCACTGTACTAGAATATAAATTGAGAGCAAATCCCACTCCTTACTAACACTGAGGATGTTACCTAGTTTGGGCAATAAACGTCTGCAAAGAAGCAACGTTCAGAGAGCACCAAGGACCCCTTTTTTCAACCCTGAGCTACACATTTTCTCCTTTATTATTACTGTTTTTTCTGCTCAATGTAACTTTCAGCAGCAGTGTAGATATTCATGAACAATGAATATTGGGATCGGGAGAATACTTAGAATGACTGCAAGGCCAAACTTCTCATGCCCCCTCTTTTGAAAACTGGGCTGCCTGTGCACGTTTTGTATTTCCTCAGAATGTACAGGCCAAAGGCAGAAGATTTGTGGAGATTCTCAGTCATCCAGGTCATAATTGTCTCAAAGATGCTTTGCCAAAAGGGAACCGGACTATTTTTTCTTGAGGAGGAAGAAGAAAACATTTTGTTTCTCATCCAAGAAGCATCATCAGTTATGATGTGGGGGGATGAAAGGATAGGTTCTGACAAGATGGTGGGTGGGGGGATGTGCTGTCTTGTAGCAGACGTTTCTTCACTACCATGACAGGTTCAGTTGTTGGAATGCAGATGAAGAGTGAAGTCACATCATAAGAAACCATAGTTTTTTATGGGATTTAGTCTATTTTGTCTGCATCTCAAATTGAAGCGCAAATGGTTCCTGTAGTCTGAAACTTTTCTGGAAATTTGTTCATTTTCCGCCCCCCCCCAGCCCTCCCCCCACAGCATTCGAAGGGCATTCATCGCAAAGTGTATGGATAAATGTCTGGAATTTCTCAATCATTTTGGTCATAGCTGTCTCAAAGGTGCTTTTTTCCTCAAAAGGCAACTGGACTGTTTTTCCTTGAGGAAGAAGAGGAAAATGTTTTGCTTCTCATCCAAGAAGCTTAATCAGTTGTGATGGTAGTGATGGTGGAAGGACAGGTACTGACAGTTGAGACTGGATAGTGGGGGATGGAAGGGTAAATACTGACAGTTGAGATTGGGTGGTGGGAATGGAAAGCTAGGTTCTGACAGGATGGTGGGAGATGGGATGGAAGGATTGTATTTCTTTGCAGTCATTGGCTGTTAACACTCTCTATGAGAGTTGTTGAGGCCACTTGGGGGTATAATCTGTGCCCTCAGAGTCTCTTGAATCAGGGTGCAATTCTTCTTGGAACTGCTGCAAGGGCTGGTTGCAGACTCAAGATCGTTGTCTTATTCTCCCCCTCTGTTGAGGGAGAAATTGCAGAAGAAAATCAGCGCAGGTATTCCTCGACTTACCACAGCACTGAAAAAGGTGATTTGTGACCCCCTTTCACACTTATGACCGTTGCAGCATCCCCATGATCAGAATTCAGACACTTGGCAACTGACTGATATTTATGACGGTTGCAGCATTCTGGGGTCATGGGATCACCTTTTGTGGCTTGACAAGCAAAGTCAGTGGGGAAGCAAGATTCAATTAACAACCATGTTAGTAACTTAACATCTGCAGTGGATTCACTTAACAACTGTGGCAAAAAAGGTAATAGAATGGGGCAAAGCTCACTTAAAACTGTCTCACATAGGTAACAAAAATTTGGGCCCAAGTTGAGGACTATCTGTACGATGGGTCCTGTGGAGGGCCCTTACTTGTGACTAGCACTGATAATGTTACCTATTTTGGTAAGAAAGCAACCAAGCTCAGAGAACACCAAGGGGCCCCTTGCTTCTTGCCAATATTATTCACACAACATCTGAGGTTCAGAAGGGCAATGCTGTTTTAGAAACTATTTTCTTGGGGAGCAGGGCTCAGGTACCAGTGTATGGTTTAATGAAGTTTAATGTATGGTTTAGTAAAGTTTAATGTATGGTTTAGTGAAGTTTAATGTATGATTTAGTGAATTTTAATGGATGATTTAGTTAAGTTTAATAAAAAAAATATATTACAATGAAATAAAATTATTTTCAAAATTTGTTCCATTCTATGATGAAATATTTTCTGAACCTTACAACCCTTGTCACCACATACAAATTAAGTGATGTAATCTCTTCATTATATTTCCAGCATTTCATGGAAAATGAATTACTCATTTTAGTAATCAAGATTGAAGTTCTGATCAAAGATAAAACACTTGGTACCAACTCTAACTATATTTGAAGT